ATTTGGAATTTGGATCTCTTCCTGGGCTTACAACCTGCAGTGCAGTGTTCTCCCATGATGCTGGGCGGCAGCAGCTGCTCCCAGCCCTCCTGAGTGAGCAAGCGGGAGGGTTACATTCTTACCATTCTGTATCCATACAGCCATTGTGTTTGTCACTTTCAGTATGGAAGTCAGTCAGTTACATGAATGAGTCCACACATGGTTATACAATCCACTTTGTGTCAGATGATTTGCTCAACTGTAGCACCCTGCATACATTTAAGGCAGGCTAGGCTGAGCTATGATACTCATTCAGTAGGTTAGGTGTATTCAATGCATTTTTGACTTGGGATATTTTCAACGTACTTTGGTTTTACTGGGGTGTAACCCCACTGTAAGTCAGAGAAGATCGGTACACAAACTACAATCAAGTATTTTTATAAATGTTACATGACCATCTAAACAATTTCATACTTGCAAGAGATTTCCGCTTTCTATTTTGGTAAACTAAATTGTCAAAGTCAAATCATTTCCTTCTTGGAGAGTTTTTGCCAGCTTTTATCTTTAGAAAATGAAGTTTGTTAATGAGATGAGGTCAATTGTTTACATTTCAGATGATGATATTAATGTTTATAAAGCACTCCACTTGATAACTTGTTGATTCATTTTGTAATTGTGAACTCTCTAGGCTTGGCAAGTTCTTTTGTTTGGGAAATTCTTGTCAACTGTTGTCATCCCTTTGGAGAGGTTTCCACATGATTCCGGGGGGTTAAAACCAGGTAGGAATAGGGAAACGACAGTGTGTTATTTACCAGAACAGAGAATCTTTCTCCTTTGAACAACTTGGTGTGCATTTCAAAAAACTGTACTGTCAATAGTCAAAATTTTGAGGCAGAGGGCAGAGGTCCAGGTGACCTGAGAGTGAGAGGTGTCGGGTATCTGGGAACGCTGTGCAGTAGAGTAAGAGAGCTCCTCAGGAAGAGTAATGAATGTGCTCCTGAACAAAGACAACATCATGCTTGATAAAGGAACCATTGCTATTTGCCTTTTAAGGCTTTTCTAGCTCAAATATGTTTTATCGACAAGTTCAAAGGCATATTTTTGCCCTTGATGGGGATAACTCCCTTAGAAATGTCATTTGAAGTCCCCATCAGCTTGGGGGAGCTCTTGGGTAGCAATTTTATACATAAAAAGTAAAGTAGGGAATTCAGCAGTTGGGCTACTGTCATCAGTCAAATGGGATAATTTCAGGCAAAAATAAATGAAGTTGGGTTTTTACAAGTGGCTTGTTTTTGTTTTGTTTTGTTTTTAAGTTTGGGTGTCTATTGCTGCATATAAATTACCGAAGTGTTTAGCTGCTTAAAGCAACACACTGAGTTTCTGGGAGTTAGGAAGCCAGGTGTGGCTTGGGGGGTGGTGGCAGGGCACCTCTGGCACAGGCTGTCCCACAGGGCTGATGCCAAGGGGGTGGTGAGGCTCCTGACTGTGGAGCTGCTTCCAAGTGAACTCTTGTGGCTGTTCGCTGGTGAGGGCTAGCTACTGGCTAGCGACTACAGTCCCCTGCCATATACCTCTCCCTGGGACAACTCATAACAGTGCAGCTGGCTTCCTTGACAGTGAACAAGGGGAGAGGCAGAGAAACACTCAGGATAGAAGCTGCCACGCAGTATCGCGATACTTCTACAGTTTGTATTCGCCGGAAATGAGTCATTAGTTCCAGACCATATTCAAGAGCAGGGGAGGATATCCTGGTGTGACAACCAGGAGATGGCGATTACTGGAGACCATTTGGAGGCTGCCTGTCACCCTGGGTTGTCCCTGTTCTCTCCTGAGGCTCTTCAGACTTTGCTATAAATAATGATAACTGCAGGCTGTGATGTGGGAAACCAAGAGCAGGCTCCTTTCCTCCCTGACCCCGAAGTTAATCTTGGAGAATTTCCTCCATAAATACATTTTCACCATGCATAATGTGAAACCTTACAGAATGAGGTTATAAAACAGAAACAGCAAGATCCATACAAGAGCTTTTGCCATCCTGTGGAGGCCAGGCTCCGGCTCACTGAACCCCTGAGGGTTAACTAGGGACAGGAAGGACAGGTGAGGATATGTTTTTATGCTGGGGCCATGATGCTTCCTAGTGATAGTGCAGTGTCGGGCACTAGACTCCCAGGTGCAGACCACCGCCTGGTTCCTTAGCTGCGCTTTCTGCTTTTTCATGTGTCAAAGGGAGTAATAATGGTCTGTGTAAAAGGAGGATAGTAATAGTATGAGTTAACGTACATGAAGTGTACCCATCGGGGCTTGACACAGAACAAGCACGTTGCTGTAAGCTATTAATGAGATAAATTACCAGCAGATGGGTCCCTGACAATGCTCCTTAAAGTGCTATGATCATACAAGTGAGTTCTGTTTTAGTTTTTACCCAGAAATACTCAGAAATACCCAGAAATTTGCTGCGCAATACTAATTTCAATGTTGCAGAAACAGCCCAAGACTAAAAAGAAAGAAACGTTCCACTTGATTAGGTGTTTATTTTGTTTATTGTTGTTGAAATATCAGCTGTGACGTTTTTATGTGACCATGCCTGATTTCCTTCCCACATGCCCTCATGCCTTTCTCATTCCATTTCATTCATTTATTCACTCTTCCTTCCTTACCTGGGCACAAGTACCTACTGCCCTGGGCCGTGGCGCTAGCAGAGATGCTCACGGGCATCTAACCAAAGCCTGCGACACTGAATGACAAGTGTTCTGGAAAAGGCACCGGGGAGTGAAATGCATCTGTTTGGGGAGGTTGTGGACATGGACCGTGACCCAGAAAAGGAAACTTGGGAGCCCTGTAGCGATATGCCTGGTGGAGGAAGGAGGGGAAGGTGTTGCAGTGGGGGGGGAGGAGGGCTGGCACAACCTAGAGGCAGGAAGCGGCAAAACATGGGGAAGGTGCTGGCAGTTCAGTTGGGCAGCAGTGCAGAACGCGGGGTATGCATTGGTGCATTGGTGGGGCGTGGAGCTGCAGGTGGGGGCAGACTTGAACAGCCGGCACTCAGTTGACACCTCAAAGTGACCGCCATGGCCTTCGGATCTCTTGCAAGTCCACATGATCTGTCCTCATCTGGGTCTCTCCTGGCACCTTGGGCTCCCTGTGGGGCTCTCTGGGGCAGGTCACATAGGTGAGGCCTTCTTCAGCTCCAAGACCCCTCTGGCACCCACGGAGGCTCTGTCCGCAGGCTCACCCACCTCACCCGTTGGCCCACATCTCACTTTCTCCCAACAATAGTCTACCTTCAGTGCTTCTCCTGAATGCTGCCATCAGTCCTCCTCCCCCCAGGGCCCCCTGCTCCCCCTTTCCCTGCTGGCTTCCTGTTCACGTAGTGCTTGTCTTCCAGGGTTCCTTGTGATTGACTTTTTATCGTGTTTGCTGTTTACCATACATTTCCCCCCAAAATATAAGTTCCCAGAGGTAGAAAAGAACCTCTGTGGGTCCCAGCATGTAGGACATGCTCAATAAATATTTGTCGACTAAATGAATCCCCAGATATATTTGAATTGTTTTTTAAGGAGCTTCCACTATGGGTGAGAAATAAGAAGGTGAAGGAAAAAAATCTACAAAGACAATTCAAACATATGTTTTCATTTTTGTACACTGTCTCATTTATATATATTCCTATCAGCCCTATGAATAGTGTGAAAGTTTCTGCCCGCCTTGGATCTTTCATGAAGGAGGTTAGGAATACCCATGATTGTTAAAAAGCTACAAATATGTGCATGATTCCTTTGGAATGAAAAAGCACCATTTGTGGCTTCCCTCCTTCCCTAGCACACTAGGCCTCACTTTCCTCTACTGTGTCTCTGCTGGCTTCGGGAGTAAGCCACCAGAAGCAAGGGCGGGGGGCTGGCTTATGCCATGATCCTAGTGTTCGAATCCCCTCTCGAGCTAGCAACTTCTTGATCTGGTCTCCCTGTCTGGGTACCATGTCTCTTGCCCTCCATTTTCTCTCCTACCAACATTCCTTCCAACGTTTTCCACCTGCATCATCACTGAACCAATTTCCTCATCCTGCAGACTCATTCTTAGTCCTTCTCATCTTTAGTTTTTCTTTAGTCATCCAATAAATTTATTTTTTATTGCTATAATGTGCTTATTTTCTTCCTGCATGGAACACTGCACGCTTTCTTCTCCCTGGATAATAATGAGAATGTTTATGGTAAAGGCTGGTGTTTTTGAGGGTTTCCTGTGCATAAGATGCTGAGACACAGTATTATTATATATCATTCCATTTATTCCTTGGAATGAGTCTATGAGTTAAAAACAGTTATCAGGTCCGCTTCACAGATGGGGAAACGGGAATCTGGAGAGGGAAGGCACCTCCTTGGAGCAAATCTCTGGAGTTCTAGCTCTGGGACAAGCGATGCAGAAGAAGGAGTGTGGGGTCAGGAGCCTGGCAGGCCCAAGGTTAATTTTAACTTGGTCAAATCCTAGTTGGGAGATTCAGGTGAATGATTATGAGTCTTTCTGAACCTGAGCATTTCTAACTTAGAAAATGAGGATTAAATGAGATAAATTGTGAAAAGCCCTGCCATGGAGCACTGAACAAATATTCTTCTATTTTCTTTCTCTTCTGTCTCCTCTCTTCTGTGGCCAACCTTAACTGAACATCCCAAACCCTCACCAGTCCTGTTGCCCTTTATATTTCTGTAGCCATCTTAACTTCTCCAGCTTTCTCCAATTGATGACTTGTTTCGGGACTACCTTCATTCAGGTAGTTTATGGGTGTTGCCTTCTTGGCTAGATTTTAAGAGCAGGGGCCATGCATTCTAATTCTGCATTCCTCATGATGTTCAACATAGTGATAAACACAGAATAAATGCTCAGTTTTTACTTCCTAATTGACATACCCACTTGGGTTGCCATTGGATCCAGCAGTCCCTGATGCAGGAACCCACACAGGTCTGTGCACCCTGGGCCCAGCAGCCTGCCATTATTAATGATGTTCTACTTCTCTTCTCTCTTCCCAACTGCAGCGTGCGCGTTCCGGTACAATGGGCTCTCCTTTGTCTACCTCATCTACCTCTTGCTCATCCCTTTGTTCTCAGAACCAACAAAAGCGACGATGCAAGGTAAGAGATGGAAATGCAATGATCCCCACCATGGGATGGTGCCCTGTAATGGATGACCGCATAATGGTAATGTGATGATCCCTACCGTGCTCTGACTGCATTTTGCTGGGCTGCTCGGTCTGTCTTTATCTGATGGGAGAGATGCGGTCTGTGTATCACGCTGGTCCAGCCAGGAGCGGGCAGGACGCATTTGGGCGGCTACAAGTTGAGTAGGGTGGAGCTTGCTGGTGACATGTTTTTGTCCCTTACACAGCTGTCCTCCCATATGAGTTCCCTAGTAGGTCTTTACTGGCAGAACTGTGATGTATCTGGAACATTTGGGCTAGGTAAAATGAACTCAATGCATTTTCAATAAAATAAGGCAGAGGGTAGAGCAACTTTGGCACACGCTTTGCATACTGGGTTGCTGGGGAGAATGTGGCAGGAGATGGAAAGGAGACAGAGCATCGTCTTACATTTCCAAGCCACGAAGCAGGAGAGCTGGGTAAGACCACGTCCCATCATGACTTGTTTATACATCAGCTGAGATCTCTTACATATGCCTCCAATGAGTACTAAAAGAGAGTAACCCGAGTCCAAGGGATAGTTTCTCAAGCATGTCACTGCAAAATTTTAGATCCATCTCCCATTGCTCTGCAAGAATCTGCAGGCACAGAAAAGAATGTGACTGTTTCTTCTAAGGCTCTCATTAGGAAGCATGGTCTGGCTTGTGAATTTATATATGTGAAGTCCTTCCACAAGTATAAACATTAAACCATACCCGATCAATTTAGTAGTTTAGTTTTCCAACAATACCATGAGAAACAAGGACTGTGCCCCGTGTCTTAGGAGTCTGTGATGGCTCACTGTATGTATACTAATCTGGGAAAAAAAAAAAAAAAAAAAGGAAGTTGTGTTTAACCCCACCAACCGCGTGGCATGGGAAAGGCCACTGGTTGTCCTCAACTCATGGTGGTGACTCTTCAGGAAAAGAAGAGAAGACTTGGTGTACCCAGAACAGCAAAGAACGGCCCTGTCTTTCCCACCTCCCTCTTAACTATTGCATTTATAACGCATATTATGTTTCCATATCTGAATAGTTAGGATGATGACTTTCCTGCCTGAGGAAGAACCTGAGTGACAGCTCTTCCAAGTCACTTAAATCCTTAATGCAAAAAGTAAAGAGGAGCTGGAGAAAAGTGAGTGTATACAAATCCCCGTCAGACCTCAACATCCCTGTTCATGGGACCACACGCAGTCTAGCCTCATTCGGACAGTTCGACATTAGCAAAGACATTGAGACAGACTAGTTTTGGGCTTCAGAGCCAAGATGATTAACATACAGGCAAGCTGTATTTCATGGCTTGGAGCTCATGTTTCAAAAAAAAAGAAGGTATCATACACATTCAGGAGAAAGTGCTTTAAAAAGGAGATTCAAAAAAAAAAATAAAAAAAAAATAAAAAGGAGATTCAATTGAATTATCTCTTGCTTTATATCAAGGTGTCTCCTTATTATTTTATCTGGAAATCAGATAATGGGACTTTCCCCCTTCAGACGTAGGGGATGGCACCCGGCTTTTCCTTCTTCCCGGCTCACCAGCCCTGCTTTCTGTTGGGGTGCTTCCATCCCTGTAGGAGTTGGTGTAAGACTATATCCGAAGTATGGGATAGTCGGCCCATTGTTTATAGCTGGGTGCACTGGGGACTGATGTCAGGAAGCTCAGAGTGAAACATAAAATCAAAAGCAAACAGCAGCTCTTCTCTGTGTAAAGCAATATCCTGAGTTAACAAAATGTGACTAGGTCAGTGCACAAACAAAGCACAATGACCCCCCACATGCGTCTGCTGGTGCTGCTCCTGGTGCTGGAGAGGGAAGCCCAGGGCTCAAAAGGGAAATCCACAGGCAACTTTCCAGTTAGGATTATGGAAGCAGTGTTGCCATTACTTTCTTCTTTCCTGCATTTCAGTGCTAAGCAGTGTGACTGATAGTCAGTAGAACCTCATTTATTTATTTGTTTGTTTATGGAAATGCAGGCGGTCTCTAGGACAGGGTGTACCACACATTTTTTTTTTTTGAACATGTAGAACTTGCAGTCCAGGCATTGGTAAATCTGTGTTTTGAGATATCCCATGCTGGGGACTTCTGGCCGTGCACAGTCTGGGACATCGAAGGCGACGGGGCATGGATGCAGGCAGTGATGGGTCTGGAAGAGTGACTGCCATGTGGCTTTTCTGGAAGATGTGGGCTCACACATACTCGTAACTTCAAGTTCATGTTCACACACATTTCTCATGAATTGGTAAGAAAGTACATTGTCAGACTGAAAGAACCGTCAGCAACCTCCACACCACCTGCTCGAAGACAGTCTGCCTGAAACCACAAGTGAATTCGGACTGCCTCTGGAGCCAAAGGCATCTGTGTGCATTGCCATTACCAGGACCACGAAATGACATTGGGAATCACTCCCCATACCCCATATTGGAAGTGTAATGCAGATGTGTAAAAGTTACTCCATGCCCCTCTGCCCTGCCTTTGGTCTGTTGGATTTATTTTTCTTTTGTGGGATTATTTTTTCCTCTAAGTGTCTCCATAGAGGGCCCAGCATGTGGAGGGAGTATTTCCCAGTTGTAGCTTGGAGGGTATTCCTGTGGCTTCGTTCCTGGGATAGTTCTAAATGTAAACCCCAGTGTCTCCACTGTGGTTTGGGACAAGGATGTCTACTTATTTTGATGGCATTGGCCTCCGCAGCACCTAGAACATCAGAGTGCTATGGGTATGCTCCCCATGCCTGTGACTTAGCGGAGATTTGTCATAAGGCTGGAGATGACTACATCCTAGAGGACGGACAAATGGGGGCAGTTAGCAGTCATATGCTGAAATGGTATCAAGTGAAAAAAGAATCAAAGTAAGCATGGTGGCGTGGCCACTTACTCGTGGCCCTCATTGGAACCACTGGGGCAAGAGTGGGAGGAGCTTTTAGGAGTCACCGAACATGTTCCGGCGACCAGTGGTAGATAGAGGCCATTTCCACAATGTGCCTGCTGTCTCTTCCCAGTCACAGATGGGCGGGGCAGCTACTTGTGTCCTCTGGAGGTTTTAGACGGTTCTTTCTTGGGTAGGCCTGAAGTCCGCCTGACTGCATAAGGATACCGAAGCTGACTGCATAGGGATACCCAAGCTGTCGTACCCAACCCAGAGCAAGAAAGCAGGAATTAACAGAGGCTGGAGGGTTATAGTCATTAGAAGATAACATAATTAGATTATAGTCATATTGTGATGGGATTGGCTTTGACGACATTATTTTGTGGGTCTTTTATCAATCTAGGATTTTAGAATTCTCATTTTTCTGTTAAAGATCTTCAGAGGTGTAATTATCTTAGGAGGATTGTATCAGTCGGGACCCAACCAGAAACCACAAGCCACTCTAGGTACTTTGAGAGGAAATGTGATGGAGGGGGTGGGTTACCAAAGATGATGGAAGAGCCAAGAAGTCAAGAGGAAGGTTGGGGGACCTAGGTCTCAGCAGAGCAGGGAGGAATGGGGGGAAGAACGGGGAGGGTCAGGAGCAGAACTCGGAAACAAGAGCCACCTGTGCATTTTTAGAATCATAGGTTGGGGGACCTAGGTCTCAGCAGAGCAGGGAGGAATGGGAGGAAGAATGGGGAGGGTCAGGAGCAGAACTCGGAAACAAGAGCCACCTGTGCATTTTTAGAACCATAGGTTGGGGGACCTAGGTCTCAGCAGAGCAGGGAGGAATGGGGGGAAGAACGGGGAGGGTCAGGAGCAGAACTCGGAAACAAGAGCCACCTGTGCATTTTTAGAACCATAGGAGGCAGATCTGTGCAGACAGGCCATGACTGGCACTTTTCCTATTAGTCATGTGAATCAAATGAGACCCTTTCGTGTTCAGTGTCAGTAAACTATACCTATAGCTTTTCAAATGTGAGGGGTGGTGGTGGAGGGGATCCTCTTTCCCTTAATTCTGTTTTTCACCAGGCAAAATGTTCCTAGTTACTTAACAGTGATTCCCCCCCATCTCCAACTCGACCTGGGTGGACATGTCCTGGAGGCACTTCCCCCTATCAGAAACCCTTTTAAGCCATGATGTGCAGGAAGCTGAGGTAGAAATTTGGAATCCCCTCTGAGGACTGAGGCACCTGTTCCCCAGCCCCCAGAAGGCCTTGTCTGTAACAGCGCACAGTGGAATCTTTCACTGGAAATTGGTGGCTGAAGGGACTCACACACACACACACACACACACACACACACACACACGCACATGCATACGCATGCACACATACACACGGGTGTACACACCATCCCATGGAGAGCAGGCACCTTTGATCTGCCATGGGTCAGTGTGCAATTAGTTCCCTCAAAGGACCTTCACCTCTCTTCTTGCCCTTTGAATTTCCCAGGCAAGTCATATTTTGGGGAAGCTTGTCCCCTGAGCTCACAAGGCATCTCTTGGAAGCCACTCTCACCAGGCTTGGAAATCTTTCTACAATATTCAATTCTCTCGGCTTCTCCAACATTCTCTTTCATATCTTCCATGGGGCAGGGAACCCCAATTTGCCGTGGGACTCATGGGAAAATGAGGGAAGCCTGGTATCCCAGCTTTTTAGGGTTGAATCTGAAACTGAGCCAGAGCCCCATTTTAATACATTTATTTATTGAGTCTCCTTCTCTTCTAATATGTAAACTTCAAGATGGGAAAGATTTTGCTGTTTTGTTTACTGCTGTATTTCCAGGACACGGAAACAATGTCTGGTGTTTAATAGGCAGTCAGTAAATATTTATGGGATGAATGAATGAATGAATGAATGAACTTATTCTCAGAGTCCCTCATTTTAGAAACATTTATAAAACAACTATAGTCCTATGCTTACTTCAGTATCCATAGTAGCAAACATCATAGAATGGTTTATTATGTATAACTGTCCTTCAGAGACAAAAGCTTAGGGTAGAATGGGCCATGGGAATTTGCTATACTAAATTTTATTGGGATCAGAGGATCATA